ACACGTGTATTACACGTTTATTACCAATTAATAGTAGATCAGTTACTCAACAACAGTTGTAGTTGCAGTGGAATATATAAAGATATTATTATGATGTGCTCTCTTAAACTGCAAGGTTTGACCCCAAAGTATTTCGGCTTATTTAGTTTGTCTTACAAAGTTTCAAAATGAGAGTAAGCCAAACTTTAGAATAGAATAATATAATAGTAGTAACATAATTTTTATTTACGGATGGCGGTAAAGAAATTAATTATTAATTATCTCAACTAATAAAAGTAAAGTTTATTTTACAACAATTAATAACCTTACAAAAAGATCACAGAAAACATATGAACAAAGGGTGGCCTTGTCGCTAAAAGATCATACACGTGCAGAGGAAAAACAATTCACGTAGTTTATATATGTGTTTAATTATGTACTTGTATCATTTTTTTTTTAAATAATTGACAAAATAATTGCCTACTTCTAATAGCCTAAGATACCTAAGATACTTGATATATACATATTGAAATATACAGATACTTGAAGATACTTTTTATCTTGACCAAAAAATATAGCAGCTATCATTTAGTGAATTTATAAGTAAATAATGAAAAACATTATACTGAACTAACCAGTAGATATGTTAATAAACAAACTAACAAGAAACAACCTCTAAACAGGAAACAATGTTTCACCTTATATGATTTTAATTCATCAATTTAGTACCAAACAAAGTCGCCACCAAATATAATAGTGAATATACATTTTTTGTACATGCAACATTGTAGAACAAAGAAATGTCTGCACACGTTTCCTGAACGCGGTCACGTTCTGAAATTGTAAAGTATTTGAATATTTCGTGCAGAAACATTACACAACTTGTGTTTGTCGCACCATTTGGTGTTTTATGTGTTTTAATGACGTCGCGATGCCGTCGCGGCGTGTGACTTCGGCTTTATTCGTATTTCCTTCAAGATTTTCTTCATAAAGTATCTTTGTTGCTTTATGTTCTGGAAGGTTTTGAGAGTTTGTGACAAAAACTGAAGTATCATTTAGATTCGTAAAATGCTAAAGTGTATTCTTAACAAAAGAAAAAAAACGTGTATTTCTCTTTCTAATGTTTTATGTAAATTACTGATTGTTACAAATTGTTTTGTACTATTGTATTTCTTTTTGCGCCTTGTGAATTAAGACTGATGTTAAGACTTTAGTTTACCTACTTGTATGTATGACAAATATGAGTTTGCTGTTTATTAAACAGAACCTCAATTCTGCTATTTTATGTTAACGTACAAGACACTGTCATTCCATTGACACGCTATTGAGATGTCATTGTTATCGGTCAAAATATTGGTATTCTACTAACATAAATTCACAGTGGCAACAGACTGTGGATGTAGTGACAATAGCTCATCAAGGGTGATATCAACAACATTGCCATTCCTGGAAAATTAAATATATTATTTTCTTAAAAATTTAAAATGTACTGTTTACCAAACTATTAGAAAGACATCGACGACATTTATATCAGTGACAAGTCAACGGGATTGCCATTGATCTTACAAAGTTAGTAGAATAGGAAAAGTACAAAACTATTCCGATGACATTCCATCCGTCTATGTCCGCCAGCGTGGTATAGTAGGCCCAAACCTCCTTTTTAAGGAGAGGCCTATGCCCAGCATTGGAATAGTAAGGCTGTTGATGATGATGACGATTCCACTCTACATAAATAACTAAAAATAAAACAACTTGATCTACTTCATATCTGGACAAAATCTTACTGCTATGCTTAGGATAATAGGTACTATCACTATATGATATCGTAGGGAAGATATAACTGCCAGCATGCTGAATAAATGCTATCATAACTATATTAATCATGAAGTAACCGTCCTAAACCAAAAATAGTAACATAGAGTCCACATCCAAATTAATCTGTACCACTACATTACGATATATTGGTGAATAATATGATGACCTACGCAATGGTTAGAGTGTTTACCGTGCCACTAAGCCTCGCCAGGTTAGTTCGATTCCCACATGGGTCAAAAACTGTGTGATGCATAAATAGTTGTTTGTAAACTCCGCAAAGTTGCTCCGCAAAACAGAAAGCATTATTTTGGGAATAATAATTCCTCTTTTACTTCTTTGTTTAGAATGAGATTAATACAAATTTACTATTTAAATTATAAAAATTGTCATCATCATCAACAGTCTTTATTATACTGCTGGAAAGGCCTCACCTTAGAGAGGAGGGGGAGAATAGCCAATATTATATTTCACCAACATCAATGTAGAAAACCAGAAAAAAAATTACCTACTTCATGATGTAATTTCACTCCCTCTTTTACTCAAGTGACAAACACTAAGAGTTCAGTATTAACCTATCAATCATCCTATAGCAGTACTCTGCTGGACATAGGTTTATTCCAATATGCACCATAGTACACTGTCCTCCGTTCTTCGCATCCAGTAGGTAAATCCCATCTACATTCTTGAGGTGATCAATCCACCAGGCTAAGGTGTCTTACCTTTTTTTTTTTTTTATTTTTTTTTTTAAAACGCGTGGAATGCTTTTCGCACCATACCCTCCGTTGGGGAAACGCAGGGCGTGTGTGGGACTCTAAACCCCGCGGCGGCCTACCTCGGCAGTCAGGAGGACCTCCAGGAACGCATCGGCGGCTTCTGGAGTCCTCCCTGCCGTACCCCATGTCTGAGGCACATCCCGGGGTGACTGTAGTCACCCTAGGGCGGGAGGCTACCGCGCCTTTCACTACTCTATACAGTAGGAGGCGCAACAGCGCCCCGCCATGGACAAAACTCCCCGGCCGCACCGGAGTGTCGTCTGTCTCGGGTCGTTTGCAGCGGCCACATAGCCCCAAGATGTGGCCGCAGCGACCCTTAGGCGGCGATTGGGAAGCTAACGTCCCCTTCGTCGCCTCCTTCGAGCGGGATCGGCCCTCTCCCGATCCCGCTCTGCGGCCTCCTTCTGGAGCATAACGGATTTTTAAAGTATTAAATCTTATTCAAATAATGTATGAATTGTTAAACTTAAATTCATTTCTAGCAAAAAGAAAGTTCTTCTACGAAAATGAGACTTTAATAAAACAGTCTGCTGAATACTTCTTACAAATCTGATTTCAATCAGATTACACACATCTTGGAATTGAGTAGAAAATACATTATTAGAATAGGTATTTAATAATATAGCTTTGGCGAAGCATTAACCTGAAGTTCGTTTTAAGTGCTTTCACTACTCAAGTATTAGTGTCACAAATATTCTATCAAAAATAAAGTATCAATTAAATTATATTTATTGAATTTTATAATACATTTATAAGTTTCATACACCTTTCTACTACGATAGAGTCAAAGAAAAGGTTTCACGTATATTAATTTTAGTCAACACAACTTGTGTGACTGTCTTAGGCTATAAAAGAACCACAGTGCCCATGAAAATTAGGTCATTTGTTGTCCAGACGTTGAAGAGGACACATTTTATAATAACTACAAGAAAATCACCCCCACAAGATTAATACTCTAAAATAACTGCTCAAGTGATTGCAATGCGCGACAATGACGCGACAGTGCGATGTTGCACGGAAGCTAAGTCGAAGTTGAGTCGTTTTGTCATTCGACTAGTATTCTAACGGTTTTAAGAGACTGAAGGATACATCCGAAGCCCAGAAAAAGTAAATTTGTTACATTGCTTTTGTTTACATAGTTAATTAACTAGTTGTAAGTTAAGGTAATAAAAGCAACAAAAATCGTGTCAGATTACATTAAAAAAAATGGTATTTTTAAAATGAATGGGAAACTTTATTTTCTAGTATGAACACTTCAGTAACACAAAATATCAACTAACAGATATACAACTATAGATAAAATGAAAAACTATTTTTTTATATATTTTTTAATTGTTGTAAACAGTCTTATAATCGAGCGATTAGTTTACATTATTTATAGGTAAACATAATTTCAATTTGGCTGGGTTTACTAAGCGAATACACAATCTAATTTCACAATAAAATGTATCGTTGTATTTATATTACAATTACATTACATCTTAGTATTAATATTTACAAGAATTGAAACAATGTAATTGAATTACGTTTTCCATTTTGTTTCAAAGCGATTTTAAATTTTGCTTGTGACGTAAGGGTTTTACAGATACTTTGATTTCAGGTGACCCTTTGATAGATATATATCTCTCATATATCTCTTTAATGCATGCCATGGTTAGAAAACCTACAATGTAGACAAGAAAAACAGTGGTACAATGGGCGGCCTTATAGCATTCTGCGAATTCTTTTAACCAACCTTTAGATGGACTTTATTGTAAAGTAATGTAGTTTATCATAACGCACTGTGAAGTTACGTATCACATTGACTATTAATAAAAATACTGCAATACACTACACAATAGAAATCGGGGCAGAAGGCTTCACTTCTTTAAAAGAGGTCTCCATCAGGTCTAGAACAGGTCGGTCATCATCAATTCAGTTTACGAAACTTTATATTTTAATTTAACATTAAAATGTTTTTGGTTAACATGCTATGATTATAAAAATAGCAACAGTATTAGTCATAATATATCTTGTCTCATTAAGAAAGTGCATTTAAACTTTTTTTTTTAAACATTTACAAAATGTCATAATTATGTCCACATAAATACTGGATTGCTGTAGCTTTTAAAACTGTATTTGAATACATATATCAATGTTTCTAATTTCACATTCCTTTATGCACGCAGCGCAGGTTCACAGGAGTTTCCAAGTGTATCCATCCATACACGGGATTAATGTATGAAATATATTGACTGATATTGTCTGCTATCAACTTTTATATAATTGCTATTTTTTTACAAAGTAACACGAAAATATTACTCTAACTTAAAATAGCATGTCTGGTAAACTGCGCACTAATAAAACATGGGATGTTGTTAAAAAACGAAGAAAGCTCATTGTCACCTTTCGTCACAACACAAAACTTGATAACAATATTTACAACTACCATGACTACGTAAACATGTAAATAAAGCAGCTTAAAATTACAAAAAACCAAGTCCTCTCTCGATGTAACCTTGGCGACCTGCCCTTTGCGGGTTCTGTTAAACCTGGAGAGAAAAAATTTCATTACTATTTTTATTAAACAACAGAAGAACGTTGAACACAATGAAAAGGCATATAACAAGAAACGTTAAACTTTGGTTTACGGAACTCTATATAATTTTAATATATACATTATACAAAATAATATTTACCTAACCCTTGATTTATAATAAAATAATATTTATTGCCAGATCAATATTTATTGCTTAAGCGCAACAAAAAAATCATTGAGACCTAAAAAAAATTGCTGCAATAATATTTTTACACAAGTTTGTATTGTTTTTTCATTTCCTTGAAGTTATTAAACTGTTATTTGAATCTAGTTTAAGATTTATTTATACTTCGTTTCTAAAAGTAACTTAAAATGAAAGTAGTTATTGTAAAAGTAATACAGAAAGAGAATTACAATAAATAAATAATCTCACCTCCTGCAACACTGATTTGATTGCCAAAATCTTCTGAGTATGAGTTGAGTTTGATTTCTGAAACAAATGACTAAATATTAATCACTAATACTTGGCACTTATCAAAATAACGAGCATCTTCCTGTTTTTTCTCCATTTATTTTCTCTTGTTTGCTCAATGTGTAACATTACTAGACTGGCAAACTCTTCCTATTACTGTCCAGTTAACCTGAGAGACAAAGCTAAGAGTATAGAAAAACTAAGAAGCGGCTACATTTGTTTTATACTCACCATATAGTCTAAGAGTACCCTCACTCTTGCCGAGTGAATTGGTACTAACACAGTTGTATGTGCCGATATCGCTTCTTGAGAACTGTCTGATGGTAAGCCACATCGTAACTTGGTAGGAGAGTTTCTCTTCTGTTATTGTGTACTTAGGACTGGAACAAAACAAATTTAAATATAATTATAAAGTTACGATCTCGTCACTCATGTATTCAAAATAGAATGCAATTTAGATGTGAAATAGGGTATAATATAGCTTTTTACGATTTTCTGCTAAGTGTTCTTAGAGTACTTGGGTCTAGAGACATGTTTAGTTGAAGGTCTTAAATAGAAATGTGGAAATGGCAAGACGCGAGGATATAATGTGGACGACAATAAGTAGTTCACAAAATATGTAGTACTTAGAAAACATAATAATTAATTGGAGTAATCATGTTCCAATTATATATATATATATATTAATTAAATCATTTTCTTTTCTACGAGTAAATGTGTTTTACCTGTGATGTAATCGTGTTAACTCCACCAACACACCTAATGAAACCATTAATTTTAAAAGAAGTAATCAGGCCTGTTAATGGTGCAGACCGCTACTTGTACATCACCGCCTCTGTTAAAGATAATATTGTCTAAAAACATTTTAGTCTGTGTTAATTAAAACCTTTCAGTTATAATTTGAGGGGCTTATTTGATGTAATTATTAAATTGTATTTTAAAATGTTGAAAAGATCATATAATAAGAGAAAGGAAATAGAGGGTAATTAATTAATTTGTTTAATTAAATAACTGCAGTTTTAGTGAAGTGGTGTTACATAAATATATACATATATAGACATACAATAACTTATAAATCCGATTTAAAAAAGTGATATAACTAATATAAGTGGTACAAACTGTTATAGTTCTTACTCCTATAGCCTTAAATTAAAAATGTTATTAGTGTTACTACGTTCATAAATAATAAAAGAAGTCACCTTGGCGTGATCATCCACAGCCTTTAAAAATCTACTGCTGAACATAGGCCTCATTAGAAATTAAATTGTACTGCACGCGAGGGCGTCACACCGCCGCGGTGCTACCTACTGCGCTGAGTGTTGTGGGTCCCCACAGGGGACACTACTTTGTGTGATCCACAAATGGTTGTTCTGTGTCTGTATGCTCTTTGCGTCAGTTTCATGTATGTTTGTAAAGTTCCCGCGAAATGCGGGAGTTATCTCTTTAAGGAGAGAGAAAATGGTATTAAAATATAAGGAAATACTCACCCGTCTAAAAGCATCTCCCCTCTATTCTTGATCCAGTAGTTGATGGTGTTAGGATGTGCTTCCACGTAGCACTTTAGTTTAACATCTGTACCAAGAGGCGCACCCAGCAATTGGTTTGGCACTTTCACTGTAGGTGCGACTGTTGACAAAAGATTTTAAATTAAATTAAAAAGTTATTTTTTAATGTTTTTAGTGCATCTAGAGGGTTTAGAGGAAAATAAATTCACACAAAATGGCAAACTCGTTCATATTTTCGTAAAAAGTACCTACATTCGTCCAGAGGGTGTGCCCTAAGCCTGCTCTATAATAGAGTAGCTTCCCGATACAGTTGAATAGACACACTATCGAAAGCATACTGTTAGCACTCAGATTTAATTGTCTAACGGTTGGGCTTGTAACACGAAACAGTACATCTCACACCGGTGATCGGCCTCGACACCTTGTACACAACGTCCCTACACCCAAAGTGTGACTTGTGGTAAAGGCAAGAAATAGAAAATAACGTTAAAACTATAGTCATTTTTATGTTGTGAGTTTCTTTACGGCGTTTAGTAAATAATTTTGTATTTTGTAATATATATACTTTTAAACTATCGCATTTTTATACATAAAATTCGCATTAAAAATTAGCCTATGCTATTCGCTAATAATGTAACTTTCTATTGGTGAAATAATTTTTAAAATCGGTTTAGTGGTTTAGGCGTAAAAGGGTAACAAATAAACAAAGAAATAAACAAAAAGCTCACTTTCACATTTATATAAGTATAGAAGTATGGATGTTCACTGGAATTAAGGCCCTCACGATTGTTATAAAGTACATACCGTTGAATCGCCCCACCAGGTATAAGTGCTTTGTCAACGAAGTCATTCTAACATTGATAGAACAATAATATTAATCCATACTGCAGTTTAATATATTTTTTCATTTTATAGTATAAAACTAACAAACAAGCGGATGGATCACCTGATAGTAAGCAACCACCGCCACCCATGAACACCCGCAACTCAAAAGTCACAAGCGCGTTGCTGCCCTTGTAGTCCCTCCCGCTCGAGTCAGAGGGATTTGGGCTCAGGTAACCGCATTCACTCAGTGAAAGGTAACGAAAGAATTGTTTAACACCGGTTTTCTATGAGGCCGTGGTATCACTCGGGTCGAGCCGGCCCATTCGTGCCGAATCATGGCTCTCCCACGTCATATTAACCTAGCATTCGCATGTATCGTATTTAAATTCACAAAAACATTCTTATTTTACTCACACAAGAATATAAAATAAACATAAAATATTCTTATCAGTCCTTCTTATTCTTCACATCAGCTTAACAGGCAACATAAAATATATTTCATTTTCTTTGTATTCATACGTTGGCAATTCCCACAACGTTTTGTCAATCTGCACTTTTTATGGCGGTAAAACGAGGAATTTATTGCGGTAACAGCTGGCAACATCAAGACGTTACGTCCTTAGAAAGGTCTTCCTTTAGTCAATACTATGGTCGTTTATTCAATTTATTTTTCGGGATGTTGGCAGTTTTCATATATGTGCGTTTAAAGGTAGGTACAATGATATGTGTTAAATGTGTGTTAAAAAATCATAATAATCATGAAAAATATTTTATCGATATGAACTCTCCCGAATTATAATAATAATAATATGATTTATTTCTTAATATGGCACAAAAATACATAAACAGCGTTACAAACACGATATTGACAGTATTTACAATAAGCTCTGGTACCCAGAATAAGGTTCAACTTGTGTTTCAATTATTATTATTCGATAATTAAATGTGACAATACATAAAAATAAAAAATGCAATTTATGACATGCAATAAAATAAATGATTTCCGCACCTAAATTGTTAAATCCCGGAAAATACACTTTGGCATATCTTCTCTTAAATGTGGATAATATCTGTTAAGGCAGAACTTTACACCACTGTTAAAGAAAACTGGAGTTATCTCCAAATAGTTTTTGTTTTCTATAAATAGCGAACGTGTCATGCTATAAACGCTTAGTGATTTTTACTGCTATACTTAAAATAATTTGATATTGCCAATTTGTTTCCTACTTATAATACGATGCCCATTACTAAATAGTTCAGTTACATATACCAGAATATTTATAAGTTAGTTGTGTATTATAAGTCATTAGATTATTGCAATGTTTTATTAAAATCCATGGCATTTAATGACTGGTAACTGTGATGTTCAACGTTTTTCGTTTTACATAGTGTTTTCAGGCATTTTAGTGACTTATAATAGTTAGGGGAAGGTTGCGATCAATGAACCAGCCCTTTCTTTGGACTACCTAAGTATTTAAAAAAAAAATAAGCATATTAGAACGTGTTCAATCAGTTGCTAGGGAACAGTGTCGACCCTGGCAACTGTCCTACAAATCGCATCTTCTATCTATCTATATATATGTATCTTCGTGCCACGGTTTGCGGAGCAGCGTGCACGAACGTTTTGGGTACCAGGGCGATATAAAAATTTTGCAACGAAAACATTGATGTAAGTATTATAATATTTTAGATTAATAGGATATACTATTGAGAATTTTTTCAATTTTGCTCCCTTGTTTAATTGAAAAAAAATATTTCATTAAGTACCAAGTTGCTATTATTGGTCCGCCATAGTAAAGCTAGGAATGTACTAGTCCAATAAAAGAATCTTTAATATACTTTGACTTTTTTTTCAATTCTTTCTAGGATGAAGACAGAAAAAAAATAAAAAAAACATATTACGTCTGGAAGAGAACATGAAACATCCCATAAAGGCTGTCAGAAGAATCAGGCATTAAACAAGACATCTCGAATTTATGGAATGCATGGTGTTCAGGAAGCAGCTGTGGAACGCAGATTTTATGAAAAAAACCTGAAAGCTATGGAAGAGATTCAAATTATAAAAATAGAAAGTGATCATTTCGGAATAGGGTATCTGCCCGTTAAACAAAGATGTTCGCTGACTATAAGTTCATAGTCGACAAAAAAGAACCAAATAAGAATATTGAACTAAATAAGAATATTGATCTTTTATAGGAAATTTCAACTGTGTTGAAGTGAAACTGGGGTGCTTCGCCCGACCATTATGTCGGAGAAGTAGAAACAACAGTTAGTTATTTTTTTTTTATCGTACGAGAGTTTATCATCACGGAGCAGAGCTGCGCAATTAGATAGTAACAAATTTATTTTTTTATAATTTGGAATTAATGTGAATTTAAATTGGAATTTTAATTCATATTATTGGTAGTGATGTGAGCATTGTTCCATCAACAACCTGAAATATCAGAAATGAAACTATTGCGACAGCTGACCCTAACCCTTATTGGTATTTAGATTATTCTTAATATTACTATTATTAAAAAGGTGATTTAAATAATGTATTAAAATTGAGTTACCATGATTGGACCAAGTCCATTGATAGTAACGGGATGGTCCATTCAATTCAACGGTGGTCCAAAGACAGCAAATTATCTAAGTATTGTTTTATCACTTTAGTGCTAAAACTATTCAACTGTTACCCAAAACAAATGCAGCATCGTATCTTTACTAAGAAAGGATTAATTATTTATCACAAGTTTTATCACTTTTATTTAATTAGATATGTCACCTTAAAGTTATCTGGTCCAATCACCGCAACCTTCCCCTACCTCTAAAACCACTATTTAAACGCTTTTTCTTCATGTTACCTATCAGCGCTATAAGCCTACTAACTATTGTCACTTTCACAGGTGTCAGAGAATGTAATACTGTAGTAAAACATATTGTATATCAATAAAGAACATTTTTATTATTATTCTGATAATATATGTACGTAGATAAGAATTAAATGTAGATCACAATCCAGTTTGAACCTAAATAATAATATGACCAAGTCACCTGATGGTAAGTGACAACCTTCACTCATGAAAACCTGAAACTCAAGAGACACAAATCCGTAATTGCACTTTGAGTCCCCTCCCTCAGAAACCCTACTAACTCGGTTTTAAGCAATATTTTCATCTTTAACACTGGTTTTCTGAGTGGCCGTGGTATAACTCCGGTCGCGCCAGCCCAAGTGTGGCAAAACATAGTTCTCTCAGGGCACTTGAAAATAAAATGACTAAGCTTTGGTACCTTAAAAACGCACATGCCTGCTTTCTATTCTCGTTAAGTTAGGTAGGAATGACTGGTCGCCAGTCTGAACGATCTTGACCTACATACTTGCCGAGTATTCCACATTCGTAGCAACTCTTGTTGAAGGGTATAAACGCACATGTTTACAGAAATTACGGGCGGTGAACACCGACGAGGCTGACATGTAATAAACGGTACACTTACAGTAAATATTCTTACAAAATAACTTTGGGCCTTTTCTTTAAATTATGAACCTTTTATCAAGTGACACAACAAACAAGACAACACAACCCCAACTCAAAGATAAAAAATATTTAATGTATATAACAGTAACAAAATAAACAAATTTGTACACCCGTTCAAGACTTATCTTGTAGAAAAAAAAAAATATTTATAACAGTAAATAAACGAATTAATAAACCCACTCAAGATTTGTATTATGTATTTTTTTATTTTTAACAGTCAATAAACGAATTAGTACACCTGAACAAGACTTCAACATCACATTACAATAACAGCCTTTAATAGTCCACTGCTGGACATAGGCCTCTCCTTTGAAAAGAGGTTTTGGGTTGGTATAGGATTTGTGTCAAGTTTTCGTTCTCTTTGCAGTACTTGCGTAGTTTGCCTTCTTAGTCGGCTCTTACTACACCCACGGGATGAATAGTTGTGGTGACACTGCGTATTCTTAATCCGTCAGCACACGGATATCTTACACAAGACTTGTGACGGGCCTGTTGGTCTAGTGGTTAGTGACCCAGACTGCTAAGCCGGAGGTCGTGGGTTCGATTCCCACCCAGGATAAATAATTGTGTGCTGAGTGGAATGAAATGATTTGTTCTGTGTCTGGGTGTAATTTATGTATGATATGTATGTATTTAGAAATATATAAGTATGTTTATCTGCTTAGTTTGGAATCAGACGGCCGTGTATGAGATGTGTGAAGTGTTTATTATTGTGTTATAGACAAGAGTCATCTAAAACCAACCCTAACAGCAGTGCGAAAGCCATGCTTCGATATGAGCCGGCTCAACCGGAGTGATACCATGACCTCACAGAAAAACGGTGTTAAGCAGTATTGTCGTTGCTTCTCAGGGACTGAGTAGAGTTAGCGGACCCCAAATCTTTATGAAAAATTTATATCTTTATTTTAAACTTAATTAAAAAGAGTTTAGAATATTACATTAGCAAAAAGTACTGACACCAGTAAAATTCTTTTCACATCTTTAGTTTTATATTACTGTATAGTGTATTGTGAGCACAGAGATACCTAACCAATTTATTATGTGTTATTACCCTTTCTCATTACGTAAGTAAACTGTATTGTTCTTTTTTTTGAGAAATAAATGTCTTTAAACCGAAATCCCCTTCCTCCTATTTCTGGAGGGGGGGGGGGGGAAAGACTCGAAGGGCGGTACACTTATGACGCTTGAGTTGCAGGTGTTCATGAGCGGCGGTAGTCACTCACCATCAAGTTGTCGTCTGTTCGTTTGGCCCCCTATACCATAAAAAAAAGCCGTGTGGTGTCGTGGGACACCCGATAGGAACGAAGTTGTGACGATCGAGTAACACTGATTCGACACGATTTTAATTACAACGCCATCTATGAAAGTGGCTATTACCTACATATTTTTCAGTTGGTTTCTAATTAAAACAATTTATACATGTATAGATGGCGCTGAATGACTGACAAGTGACAATTCAAAATAAAAAGTGTCGTTACAACTTTTCGTGAGATTTTTTTCCGTCTAGCCCCCTTTCACAACGCGCGATAAGGGAATTCGTTCTAAAAATAGCCATGTCGATCCTATATTCCATGGAGCCCCAATAACCTACCCAATAAAAATATTATTGAAAATAATAAAATCATCGACTGTCACCTCTTGTAAACAAGTCATATTATCGAAGTTGGATTCCTTGTTTGTTGGTATTATTTTTTATTAAATTACCCCATAGATTTTGTTCCTCTCAAACGTAACATTTTTTCCTTGCTATAATAATTTCTTTTGAAAATAAAACAAATATACTTAAATTTTAAAAAGTAACAGTAACATTTTGGGCATAAAATAAAACTATTAGATAGAGAAACAGGTCGTGGCACCATCTAAAGGATATAAAATTGAGAATTTAAACCAAGGAGAGACCCAGTTAAAAACAAAAAAGTTATAATAATCTGTCTAGCTATTTAACAATAGTTCAGTGACAGTGAAAAATAATTATATTATGAAAAGATTTACAGATTCTAACTTCGTGACGCTTCGCTTTTATTTAAACCCAAATTATTACTGCCATGTTGCATAAACACTTACGGCTTTTTGAAAAAGTACACATAACAATCTAAAATAGAAATATAAATCTTGCATCCAGCGCTTGCGAAGTCACGTAACTTTGGTTACTCCTACATAAAGATGAACTTGTATCATTTTGGATACCATCCAAATTCGTGACGGCTGCGGCCCTGAACGGATTATATTATTCAAAGTGACAAACAAACGGATGGGGTGAATTTTATATTGTGTTTTTTCGGAGCGTTGATAGCTGAGGTTAGTAAGGTTCCTGTGGAAAGAGGGTATTCGTGAATTTTTCGCGGTTTATGTAAATATACGTGACGTCCACTGATGCACATTCTTCAGACTTTTAAACTTTTTTTTTATGTTAGAGGGGGCAGACGAGCAGACGGGTCACCTGATGGAAAGTGACCATCGCCGCCCATGAACGTCGTCTCAGGACTCACAAACGCGTTGCCGGCCTTTTAGGAAGGAGTACGCTCTTTTCTTGAAGGTTTGAAGATCGTGTCGGTCCGGAAATACCGCCGACGATAACCCGTTCCACAGATTGGTTGTGCGGGGCAAAAATTGTCTCGAGAAGCGCACAGTAGTGGAGCTTCGAAATTCGTGTTTCACTGTAATAACTGTTACACCGTAGTAACACTAATTATAATGTTATGATGTCACTACGAAAACGTGTCAGATAATGCTAATTGCTAAAGCGTTCTCATTAGCAATTTTCACTAAGTTTCATTAAAGAGTAAATAAGTAGATGTTTCGCATTAAGGCTCTATCTATGTAAGTGTAAAGTATTTAAAAGTATTTGACTAAACTGACGTGTGGTTACGGATTAAGAGTACGGAGCTTCACCAAACCTATTCATCCCGTGGGTGTCGTAGGAGCCGACTAAGGGAGGACAACAGCACTGCAAAGAGAAGGAAAATTTGACACAAACCATCTAAGCACAAACTATAGAGATTGTGCTTACATATAAAACTACAGCGCCTTGATTAGAACATAAATGTGGTTTCATCGTTCAACCTCTCTAGGCGTTCCTTGAGTTCAATAGGTTATTTTTAACACTACACTATAGTTAATATTTTAGTGTAGTTTTAAACGTTTCTGTAACATCCTGCATAACATTATTTTGTCTAGGCCGTTTGTTTAACTAACAAAAGTTACACAACTATTTTATTTTATTTTATTTTATAGGTACAGTAACAGATAACAGATCAGAAAATACACAATTATGTTGACAATACACAATGCTTAAATCTGAAGCCCAATTATAACTATACACAATATTCTATTTCAAAGCTTATATGAGCTTAAGTTACATTATTTATTACGAAATAATTAGTTTAAGATTTAATTTAAAAAAAAACAAAGATTTAAAAAAAATCCGAATGAATTATACAGATATTATTGTGGGGCACATTCTTTTAGTAATAAACTTATGAAAAAACTATAAGTACTCGTATTGTAAGAAATGTCGAGCTCAGAGCAAATAGCGTTATATTGACCGCACATTTGGGAGATTGGATTGTTCTGTGATACATTATTGTTACTACTAGATACTGAGACGTAGGTACAGGTCGTGTTGGTATCCTAAAGTATAGCAAGCCAACAAGCTCACTATCAAGTGGGTTCGATTCCCACCCAGGACAAATATTGTGTGACAAGCACTGTCATTTGTTCTGTATCTGGGTGTAATTTATCTATATATATATAGTGGCTCTCCGCAGGGTGTGCGAACCACATAGATGCACCTGGGGTGGATTTTCGCGACACCATGCCCTAAATGACATAGTCCGAAGGGCTCTTACATATATCCGCCAATGTACTCTGCGTGCGGGAGCCATCGGGTCTCAGCAGATCTGACGGGAAGCGGCCGGATGGCTTGACTTTGGTGCCGTGGAAAAACGGCAAGTGCTTGGTATGGGACGCTACATGCGTTAGCACAGTCGCGGCCTCACATCTGAGTCGCACCGTGCAAGCTCCGGTGGCGGCGGCGGAGGATGCCGCTAGTAGGAAGCGATCAAAATACGCCGCAATGGAGATGCATTATAGTTTTGTGCCTATTGCGGTGGAGACTTTGGGCAGTTGGGGGTCGGAATCTAAAGAGTTAATTGCGGAAATTGGTCGACGAGTTAGGGATAAAAGTGGTGACTCCCGCTCCGGCTTGTTTCTGGTGCAAAGGATGTCTGTTGCAATTCAGCGAGGCAATGCTGCCAGTATCATGGGCACCTTTGCACAGTGAGCGACGCGGGGCGGGTTATATGATCTGACTTGCATAAAAAATAATAATAATTGTAACTTAAATTTATGTAACTGTAAGTATTTAATAACATTAAATTGAAATTACTTGAAGATATCTCCTAAACTCTGAAACATTTATCTTTAATATGTATAAATTTAAAAATATATAAGTATGTTTATCAGCAGTTTGGTTACCATAGTACAGGCTCTGCCTGGTTTGGGATCAGACGGCCGTGTGTGATATGTGTGAGATATATTATTATTATTATTATTTACTATTTTATGTAGGATGCACATGCCAGTTAGCCACCATTCTAGACTCATCATTTTAAATCTACGAAGTCAGTCACAACATTAAAAAGTACAGACTAGAGAATGATAAAAAATGAAAAACCAATTTGTCTACTCGTGAACTCGTGAATTGGTCACTTAAGGTCTCTCGACATTTGCAGTTTTATTTTTTTTATTTTTAATACCATTTATACAAATATGTTGTTGACACAAGAATAACATTTATTTATAATAACAAATTTAATGCGTTATTGTTCAACCAATCGATTGGCCGATAGCAGTCCACTGCTGGACATAGGCTCGTCCCAATTTGTGTCTTAAAGTACTATAGACAGTAATTACAGATATTAAATAGATCATTCACTAATACTGCACAGATGGCGTAGTGGTTTCAGCGGTCATCTCGCCGCATTCTACTGCGCTGAGTGTTGTGGCTTCGAACCGCACATGGGACAATAGTTTGTGTGATTTACGAATTGTTGTTCTGAGTCCTGGTGTTCTTTAAGTCTGTTTTAGAAATGTGTGTGAAGTACCCCGTGACACAGGATTTGTGCCTAGTGCGGAAGTTGTCTTTTTTTAAGGAGATAGAGAAAAAAGAATACTCACAGTTTACATTTAGTATGATTCGTTTGCTCACTGCGGGTGGCACGTCGTTTGCGGCGATGCACAGGAAAGCGCCCATCTGTCTTCGATCCACACGCCACAGTGGAAGAGAGCTGCCCGTGTAGCTTTCCACTAAATAACAACAAAGAAAACATTTATTGTTGAATATTCAAGAGATTTGTGGCGTAGGGTCTCCACCCGAATTCTAGCAGCTTCCTTATTTAAAAGATCGGAGTTATAGTGTAGTATAATAATTATAGTACCTGCGTTTTTGAGTTTCTAGATTATGGTTTAACTTAATTGAATCGTGTGTTAAAAGTTAGTTTGTATATACAAAATGAATACAAAAAAAAACATATTCCAAAGAATATACTATTAAAAAAAAACAAAATCAACCATTTGTCGACAACTCATAATGCTCCTAAAATTTACTAGACTTTTCTGTACCAGCCTATCTGACACTATTTAGTATTCTACGGGTTTTATTAAAAAATATATAAATCAACAGTAACATTCTGATTTCCTCTTATTGCGATTTCTTTCTTAGGGTATTCCTAAGTTTTACCCCGGTCTACTTAGGCGTGCTGTCCATTCGGGGAAGACCTGAAATTACATGGTCCTGAGAGTACGCAATCGCCTGAGGCCTGGTTTTGATTTCGTCATACCACATAATCTGGACTCCGGTGAGGTGACGTCTCGTTGAGATTTCCATACAATGTACAAATGTTTTAATGAAATTTGAAAAAGGAACTCAGTAAAAGTTTCCACAATTATAAACTACCGACATTTAAAATGAAAATGTTCTCGCTGACTTCTTTACCATTAGATCTTATCTATAACGAAGGCCATTAATTCTAATAACGAAGGCTATCCCTGATCAATATTTCAGCCATTATCAACAGAATTATTATTAATATGCTCATAACTAATGCATTACACGCGATGAATACAATTAAGACTACAAATAGATACTGTTTTTGTTGATAATACAAAGTTATAAATGTATACGTGTATCTATCAAATATTAGGTTGGTCAAAATGATAATTTAATCTTATAACGACATCAGCAAATAAAATAATTTATACGTTTAATTTAAATTAGTTTGACTGACTTATCCTTTAAAAAAACTTATTTTTATTGTAACAAAGGTTACCGAAGTAGCAAGTACCTCCCAAAGCTTAAAAAAGTCTTGGCATAAGTACGTTTCACAAATGACTTAAGTTCAAGAGGCTTGTTCTAAGGCTTGAACCATACTGGTACACAATCAACGCCAACCCACTCTTAACAAAATATTAGATCCCGCGATATTATTACTGTTTGTATTATTTCAAGGAACAACCTTCGCACTTTAAAATAAATGTTGGATACACCCACACTGGTACTCAGTGTAGGTGTAAATGTTATAAAAGTTCTTTACCTTTGAAGTGGGAGATTTTTAAAACCATCATTTTCCGATTTAATTGTCTGTGGATTGGCGCGCAATGCGAAATTCAAATAAATTTTATTCGAAAGCCATTTTATTTTATTTTCAAATTTAATCATTTGTTTTAGATAATGTTTTGTTTTTGTAAAATTGTAGGTAGTTTGGCCCCATGGATGAACTGAAAATTCGTACAATTTTCGAATATGAGTTCCTATAACTTTGCTATTGCTTTGATTACTGTGGGCTTTTGGGTTAGTGTAGAAACAAAATAGAAGCAAATCGGAAAGATAAAAAAGCTAAATAAGTGGATGCCACACGAGCTAAGGGACCATCGACGAGACTTTCGCGTCAAAGCATGCATAGCACTACTGAATCGGCATAGAAACAAGGGAATTCTGAATCGAATTGTTACTTGCAATGAAAAGTGGATACTGTACTACAACCGCAAACGTTCATCTCAGTGGGTGTACCCGGGTACATCACTTAATCAGTGCGCTAAAAATAAGAAAACCTATAGGAAGATGATGGAAGCTGTTTGGTGGCCCAGTGCCGGACTTATACATCATAGCTTCTTACCGAATGGCACAACAGTAACGGCAGAGTTGCATTTATCCATGCCACACATACACGATACTTGAGATCATCAGAAAATCTTACACTAGAAATTCTAACACACTCCACAACTTTTACTGATACATCTTTTACAGTACAAGCAGCACGCCTATGGAATTCCTTACCGGAACCTATAAAGCGGGCACGGTCAGTGAGTACTTTTAAGAGACTCATCAAAGGTCACTATTTATCTCTGTAAGAACTATGTGTTATATATGTAGGTATGTAATGTATGAATATGTATGTATGTATGTGTATATTTATATGAATGTACGTATGTGTATGAATATGTATTTATGTAAATCTATATTATGAGCACCACAGACTACATATCACTATACAGTATAGTCCATCTAAAGGTTGCCTGTAAGAGATCGCAGACTGCGATAAGGCCGCCCATTGAACCACTGTTTTTTTTGTAAATTTTATGTTTATATAGCATTGTATGTTTTCTATCATGTTGTTCAATAAAGAGTACCTATCTATCTATACCTACTGGCAAGATAACCATTTAAAATAGTTCAAGCATTCATAATACTGTTAACAATATTGCTATACAGATAAATAGGTTAAGAGCGTTTATAATTCCAATTCATACTTCAAAAAATACATAGGCCTCTCGGGATTTCAACATAGCCTATAATTCATATTCAAACTATACAAAACTAAACGGGCCCTCGCGAGATTAAAAGCTATGAAGAGTTATATCATCTTATCATACCTAATTATACTTGGAAGTACATAAAAACGTTACGCTTTCAAAATCATCCTTGGGATTAAGAAATCCAAATGATGTGATGCTTGTAAACTACCTTTCTACGGATGTTTATTCGTCGTCGATGCAAGCGAAAATATTCTGTATTATACAACTACTAAATTAACAAGTCAAAGTATTATACTTTGACTAATGACCTATGACGTGTTATGAAAAAATTTGATATATTTCAAAACACAAAACAAATTTTTTAAACAAATATTCTCATGTTATAAGCGAAAAACGTACTTTAAATCTGCCTAACGTTTGAAGCCATGATACTATGGACAGATACACAGATATACACGTCCTTTTTATATAAACAAAGAGGTTATTAATAATAACCTCACACAGGCCTAACATGCTTATATATTTTTATATACATACATATTATAGATAAATTACACGCAGACACAGAAAAAATTATCGTGCTCATTACACAATTATTTCCCTTGCGTAGAAATCGAACGCACGGCCTTTGACTTTTCAGTCAGGGTCACTTATATTTATTAATAAACCAATATAATAACGGACGTTATCAAGTCAAGAGTTTACAAATCCTGACTGAGAACACTTGACCACCTGCCCACGCAAATAAATATATTTGCGTGGGCAGGTGGTGCTTCGAAAGCAATATTTTAGTTTAATTATATCTCTACTTTCCAGTGTTATCGTATTAGTAATTTAAGCCTTGTTTTAATTCTATACCTTAATGAGCGACTTTAACGCGCCATAAACGCAAAACCTCTTCAGCGTTTTACTTTTTTCCTAAGTTTTTTTTTAGACGAAACTTGTAAGGCTAAGGAAGTGGGTTAACACGCTCGCAGGCGGTTAGCGTGACCGATTCACATAATTTACCCAAATATACCGGTTCATATCAAATACAGCCATTAGTGCCCGCAGTTTAACTTTCAATTCATTATAAATATTAAATGTTGGTTTGTAAATGTAATTACTATAATATACAGTATAGAGAAACGCACGATTCTACTAATAAAAATATTGTGTATTTAATGATTGTTGAAAGCAAAAAAAATTATAAGCCTTAGTACTAAGTACATAGTAATTGATGGTACGAGTAACATTGTACTTCTTGGGGATTCTTATAAAGGTAAAAAAGTAGAACACTATCCTATACTTTTACCCGCGTTGAAGCACATAATAAAATATAAATAAATACATTCACGCTTTAATACCATCAGGTATAGGAAAGAAGACTGAACGGTATTTTTTACGATCCTGACATATAGGCACGAGCCTTTTTACATTCATCAAACCTTCCATAAGCCGACTAAGGGAGCAAACTACGCAAGACAACAGCAATGTAAATAGAAGGAAAACTTGACACAAACCCTATACCAACCCGTCTGGCCAGCGTGGTACAGAAGGCCAAAACCTCGTTTCTAAGGAGAGGCCTATGTCCAGTAGTAGACTATTAAAGGCTGTTGATGTGAAACCTTCCATACACGCTCGCCGATCATTGGGTGCTTTTAACGAAGCTCTATTTCAGTACACTACCGATCTGATCGGTGTCAGAGTGCTATCCTACTTACAGGGGCTTTTAAAACTCTTTTAGTCTTTCTTCGCTCATCTCTATTCTTGTCTCTACATGTTCCTTGAACTCACACGCTTTTCCTCACTCTATATGTAAATCTTTTACTATGTACACTTTTTAGTGAATAAAAACATTGAGGGCAGTAATTAAAACCCTCTACAACTATATAATATTAGCATAGTACATTATAAATAGGTGTGTAGACAATAACAAAAAGCCAATCACTCCAAACCTTTTTTTGCTTTTAAGAAAAGAGCTTTAAGTAATGCTGAAAGTGCTAAGTCAGTACTAATCTTTTAATGCATTTCCGTAGACTTCGGATATTTTAGTATCAAAATCTTCCTAACGTGCATGATAAACACGTATTTTCGTAAAATTCTTCAATACTGCTAATTTTCTTTCATAATATTATAACTGTATTCTACTTGTCTCGAGGCAATTACAAAAACAACTTAAATTAACACGCTCCAAAGGAAGCCAAGGAAACAAGATAAGTAACTTAACATTATATCTTGAAACTCCAAAACTAGTTGTTATCGAACTCCCTGAACATCTAAAAACTTTGGCATAATCTCTTTACCGAGGCCATCACGCCCTTACTATCGTTGGCGACAATTGTCCCTTAGGACCAATCCTAAACTCTATGAAATTCCCTTTATTTTCCTCATAGTCACTACTAGGTTAATTCTAGCCTTTTTTTTTATATATGTTAACAAAGTACATATATAAGCAAAGAATATGTACCTATGTATAAGTTTTTATTTTATTTAATTTACTTTATTTACAACGGTTATACCAATTCCAATAATTAAAAACATGTATAGATCAACTCAAAAAAAACGAAAAAAAAACAGAGATAAATATAAATCAAAACAAATACTAATTTATCTTTTTTATGTTAGAGGGGACAGATGAGCAGACGGGTCACCTGATGGAAAGTGGCCATCGCCGCCCATGAACGTCTGTAACTCAGGAGGCACAAGCGCGTTGCCGGCCGTTTAGGAAGGAGTACGCATAATAATTATAACACAATATAATATACACAGTAAATATACACAATACAGTTAATATACACAATATAAACACGTACATAAACAAAAAACTAAACTAAAATTATTCGTACTATGTACTCACAGAATTACAAGCATACTAACATTATTTTCGGTCATCCATTCGCAAACAAATTAGAGTCAGGATGGTGACTAAGCTCGCGACACAGTGCGAAATGGTAGTACGTCAAACAACATTACTAAATCTTAATAAATTATGACATGGTGTTAAACCAAAGCTTTATTACTCAAAATCTAAACATTAGATAGCAAAAATTATACGTTTCCTCCTCCATTTCCTTCGGGGATACACACGTAAGTACGTTTAGCGAAATAACTTTCAGTAGTCGCATTTGATGAGTAATGAGAAATATAATAATATATTATAATATAATAATAATATAATAATAATATAATAATAATAGCGAACGCTTCTGTTACACACTTCCCTCCCTTGTATGAAATCACTCCTACATATTGCATAGTAAGAGGTAAAGATTTCACACATTAAAAAATCACATCAGTTCAATCAACTACATCTCGCACGCACCTATTCGCAGAAATCGTGCGCATTAATGACTCTCGAAAATTATGTTTTTTTTAGGTATAGATTCGTACAGATGGAATTTACTTCAAAATAATTCGATGATAGTGATAAAAGACTACAAATATTTGAGACCTTTTTTCAGAATACGCACGAACTCTTTCCAACGCGTCTCGTCTTTGTTAGAGCGAACGACACTTTGAAGTAATTCAAAACCATTGTGATAAAAGCAATCGTGCGCGGCCTCTCAGGCGATAGTTAGTATTCTAGGTTGAAAAGGGTTGACTGGTACGATTGGAGCAAAATGACTACTAATCTGGCAAAAACTTTCAAATGATAAAAAACTCTCCTTACGTATTAATAAAGTTCAATTTAAGTATTCTAAGTACTATGTAATAATATACTCAGGAACCCATGTAATGTAAAAAAAAACATTTGATAGCACGCTGACCTTACCCCTTTCCTCATTACTAAAAGATTGTGAAGCTATTTCTTTTTCTTTTCGCTAACGAAACCATATAAAATAGATAATCAAGAACATAAAAAAAGATCAGGCCCCTGGCTTCACAATTATTTATTAACATATTTTAGGCATTATAACTATGACAGCCAATTCAAAAGAAAAGAAACAATTGGTGTATTCGACATAAATTATTTTTAAAATGTATGTTTATGTATATATTATAGTTGTTGGGATGTATAAATATGTGTTTTCTGTATAAATATTTATCTAATTTTACCCTTTTTTGTAATCATTGATAATTAACCTAAAAAAATATTGTACTACAGTCTCTCCGAAACATAACAATTTCTAAGGTTGTCATTCTCTTAGAAATAAGGGCGCCCTTTGTACATTATATGTCGAGAAAACGCTGTAGAGATAAAGAGTTCTCTATCTATCTATAGTGTACTTGCATTTGCCAACAGTCGCATTTTTTCTTGTTTTTTGTTACATTTTTAGCTTGTTTACAATACAACTAGGCCAATGTAACCCATTTTTTTTTATTAAGACGCTATGTTTAATCATTATCATCGACAACAGAAATTAATAGTCATCTGCTGGACCTAGACCTCTCCTTAGAAAGGAGGTTTTGGTCTACTATATCCCGCTGGCCAGACGGTTTAGTATAGGGTTTGTGTCAAGTTTTCGTTCTCTTTGCAGTGCTGTTTTCCGGCGTAGCTTACGACACCCACGGGACGAATAGGGGTGATGACACTCCGTATTCTTAATCCGTCACCGTGTGGTGACGTGTGGCTTGCACCATGCTTAAGACTCTTCCTCTTTACATTAAATTATAAAACTACTATTAAACTATAAAACTACAAAATAAAGTCATAAATAACAACATGGCAGGTAAGGGTTATTATAAATATATCTCGTTAAGCCACTTCACCCATTTCCTGCTTAGAATAAAAAGCAAGAATTAAATTCTATTAAATTCCTAACTCTGTGCTACCTGGAGCACAGAGTTAGGAATTTAATAAAGAAGATTTTTCAAAGCAATGGCTTGAAACAAAAAACTGTAATAGGAAAGATTATTGGTATGTGAGTAATAATATTAGAATAATAGTAGAGTTAGTAGACGATAAAGCAAGGAGTGGAAAACAAAAAGTGAGAGATAAAAAGAGTTAAAGAAGTGAGTTCTCATTTCATGGATTGATTTACATTCTTTTAAAATCATAACTAAATAAAATCTTGTTTTAGTATTCTAATTCATTCTTATAAGAATTTAATTTCAGTTCATTTCAGTTGATCTAAAATTTATTTATTACTAATTCATTACAAAAAAGAATTACTTTTGTGTGGGTTAAAAGGGTTTACAATTAAAGGCATCAATAATAAGAATAAAAGCATGTTTACGCATATTTTCAACCAACATCGGCATTGGCACAATCGATCGGTCGAATACGAATTGTTCCTTACGCTCATTATACTTGAGCATTTAAAATGGGATTTAAATATAACAGCCGTTTTGATTTAAAACTTGCGGTTGCATTCGAAATCCTAAAATTAACAATATATCAGATCTAGTTCAGTGTGTACTGAACTTGATCTGATATTTGTCCGAATCCGATTTCCATAATTATATTATAAACAAGCTTTTGCCCGCGACTTCGTCCACGTGGTGGTCGAAATCAGACATCGTAGAGGATACAATGCATCAAGACTATAGGTAAATTATCCATTTAACTTGAACCCCTTTTTAACGGGTAGTTTTGAAAAATTAGTATTAACGTTCAGTAATACTTTTAATAAAGAGTATTTACTGTATGTTAGATTACGCTACTACCAAAAATTACGAAGTTTCATATCAATTTCTAACCCCCATTTTACACTCTTAGGTGTAGAATTTTTTTAAAATCCTTTCTTATCCACACCTACGTCACCTAAAGATCATTTGTGCAAAATTTCATGCTTCGATACCCAGCGGTTTCAACTGTGCGTTGATCGATCAATCAGTGAATCACTCTGACAGTTTCTTCTTTTATAGATACAGATGTACAGGTGAAATTGTTTGTTTGTTACGGTTTCACGCCTTAATCACTGAACCGATTTTAGAAGTTCTTTCACCAATGGTAAGCTGCATTATCAGCTAGTAACTTAAGTTTTTTTTTACCGCGATAACCGACATATATGCGGGCGAAGCCGCGGGCAAAAGCAAGTAAGGAATAAAGAGAATTTAAATACGTCTTATGTTTTCTAAAGTTAAGAAAATAAATATAAATCTTGAACTTGATATATTATTTACCTCTTTAATTGAAAAATAAAACGTCGATAGAGGCAGTTGATTAAACACAGGTCTTTAATGGTCTTACACACAGTTCAAAAGTAGAACATCACCACAAAATCCAGCACCTTTCACAATAGAGCAAAATACATAGGCTATTTTATTCTATGTACAATTCTAGTATTTTAGGTAGTCAACGGAGCGGGTAATAAGACCAACTCGCTTGTGCACCCAATTTGTTAGAACACCTGTGTCTGGTTATACCATACATGTATAATCTTAAGATTAAACTTTAAGGCAAGTGTAAACAAAGGTTGTTTCGTGAGCAAATATTCTATATTTTGAATCGTATTTAAAGTCTTGTTTTGTTGTGTTCGTATAAAATGGCTACGAAACATTTCGTGAAGTTACGCGTCTTTTGTTCTAGCTTGTGCTCTAATATAATTAGCAAAATGTCTCAGTTTTGTAATATTACTCCAAGGGTAACGTTTATGTATCAGCACCTAGTAAAAATGGCGTTGCCGCAACATTTCCCTAGCCACCCCTTTGGGGATAAAGACGTGTATGTTTAAATTTATATATTTTTTTATTGTGACGGATTAAAAATACGGAGTGTCACCACCCCTATTCATCCCGGGCCGACTAAGGGAGCAAAACTACGCAGGACAACAGCACTGTAAAGAGAAGGAAAACTTGAAACAAACCCTATACCATCCCGTCTGGCCAGCGTAGTATAGTAGGCCAAGACCAGGAAATATACAAGTATGTTTATCAGCCATCTGGTTACCATAGTAAAAACTCTACCTAGTTTGAGGGATCTGACCGTATGTGATATGTATGTCTTAATAAAATAACAAATGAGAAAATTTGATTAATCTGCTAGTACAAGGCTTACTTGTCTCTTACTAATCTCTTAGTGTATGAGAGTGTAATGCAGATTTATATTTAAAAAGGAATTAGAATTCAAAATTAGAACTAGGATGTTACAACATTAAAATACTGAGCAGCTGAAAACAAACTCACCTTTATCAAAATCTCTAGACTGTGGTTTCTTGAGTAGAACAGGCTCGTGGTCTTCTCTCCTCCACGTTATCTTGGGAGGGGGGTGGCCTGTAGCTTTGCAGGTTAGAGTTGCGTTCTCAAGCTCCTGAACGGATACGTCGCCGGAGGTTTCGTCGCTGATGATATCAGGTGGCACTGGAGACAAATGGACAATCCATATACTAAGTGAGGGAGAGACACGGGCCTATTAGGCTAGTGGTTAGTTATCCTAATTGCTAAGCCAGGCATCGTGGGTTTGATTCCCACGCAGGACAAATATTTGTGTGATGAGATCAATCATATGTATGTGTTTATAAATATATAAGTATGTTTATCAGCAGTCTGGTCACCATAATACAGATTCTGCCTAGTATGGAATCAGGCGGTGGTATGTGAGATGTGTGAGGTTAATATTATTATACTATTTGTCCTTTAGGATCTGTTTTAGTAAACAGAACAGAAAAACAAACGAACCAGGCAGAGCCTGTACTATAGTTAGCACTGGCTCTGCTTAGTTCATTTGGGATTAGAATTTGGGTGTCTCATGTAAAAAAAAAAATAGTTTAAAAATAGTTTATAACTATCTTAGTTTAAAAATACTTTACAAGTCTGTAACCATATTTTGATATATTTTCATGGGCGTTAAAATCAAGATGGACCTTAATTACGAACTTTATTAGGAATGTAATATAACGATATCATCAAAGCTGGGCTCAGAAACTGATTTCAGACAAAAAAAGTTGGACTGATTTTCTTGACCTGTTACTAATAAAAGTGTTTTAAATAAATCCGACTTCAAACAATATTAATAAAGAGGACTCAAAACCTAGCAGCAATCGCGGTTGATATGCTGTCAATTTTTGAAGAGTTCCTGTCTTTCCCTGAAACTCATCATCAGTTCTATATGAAATTTAAATGGGACAATTTCGGAAAAAAAAAAACCCCATTAGACCAATAATTTTGTGAATCCGTCTATATATGACAGAGTTATATACTTAAAAAAAAATCCGTATTGATAACCTTGAAGTCGGTATAAAATAGGGCATAAGTGATTTCGCTTTTTACTTTTCTTGACAGTAAAAGGCAAAAGTGGCTAGAATATAATGTTTATTATTTTTGCGTGAACACGTCTTGCGTGATTGCAAGCACCCACCATATCTAATACGTCCTTATCCAATAAATAAACTTATAGCTGTAGTTCATATTGTACATATTTACTCAGGAATGTATGACACATAAATATTTACCCGACAAACAGACTGTGATCCATAAAGTAATATGTACCCACTGTTACGTTAAATAAGGGCTTATAAAGTCAAAGCAGTTTCAAAAATTTATCAACCTTCTTATTTATTTATAAATTTATAATAGACAACAGAAGAACTTCCTTTATGATTTAAAAACTATTGTCCCTAGTCTATAGTTACTATATCGTGTACAGCAAAACTGTAAAAACATGTAAATTGTCAAAACATAGTCACGCTAACCAGAAATAGGCCAAATTGATTAATGAAGTAATATCTCTAGGCGTTTTGTTCAACGTTACGTGAATCAAATTCAAAAAAAAAAATGATTTTTATTTTATTTTTTCATGTAAATTAGAGGGAGTCGCAGACTTGCTCGTTTCACGTGTATGCACGAATGTACTACATCAGCAAGAAAAGGTCAAAGTAGTAACTTACATGAATTAGAATACTTAGAAACTATCCGGCGTGACGAACGAGGAATAGGTTTTTTATGACTATGGCATAAATAAGAAAAGATACCTTTAATGTATCTGACTAGGCATTTTATTCTACTTCACCTAATCGTTCAAAACGACGATCAAGATGAATTCATCAATAACAAAAAACTTTTAAAAAGTTTCCTTAAAATATTATAGTGAATGCCGACTTTCAGCGTAGGAATATAATAAATGTTTATATTGTGTACGTAAGAATAAATAAATAAATAAATGAATATAATCAACTAAAGTTTCTGAAAACCGACCCTAATAAAGCCTCTGTGGAGGAACGGGTGTCATGTCCCTCTAACGCAAAGGGAGGATCCTCCGACCACGCGAGGTGATCATGTCCAGCGGGCCGCGGCCCAACGATTGATGTTAGGAAGTTGTATATATGCTAATCGGCCAGAAAATTCTTCATATCGCGATACAGGATCAGCAATTCTCATTCGGTGTTACTCCGTAGTTCGGTGTGTCTTCGTTAGATGGCGCTGTAGTATATTTCTTTGTTTCGCCGTATGTGAAAGTCGCCACACCTCCTATTAATCTTTCTATTAAGCACAAATAACGAGTATAATAGTACAATTTGATATCCAAGCAATAGAATATTATTTTTAGCTCGTGGCATTAATGTTGCACGAACAAACACCACGGACACCCTTCACTCAGTGACAGTAATGTGGACGGTGAATGTTGAACTAATATACGTCATATGTTGTTGTGTTTGGCTGTCGAGGCAACAATATTTGTACCAACATTTGTACAATCTCAGAAACCAATGGTCCGAATTGATAAATTATGTTAGTTTGATAGGCCATTTATTGAGATTTATCAACGATAAATGTTTCAAAATTTTGTTTATTTAAAAAATACCGAAATGCATTTGGCCAGAATTGAATCTAAAAAAAATTGTTTAGTGTTAGAAAAACTTTTTAGTCTCATACAAATCGATTTCGATTTCCTGTTATATAACATTGCTTACACATTTTTTAATTTTGTCAATGTGTTATTTCATCAATACGTACGTACTAATAAATTAAACTGTCCAGTAGAAAATAAAAGAATCGTCATAAATAATTGCAAGTATTCCTATTTATTGCATTAATTTCTATATACTTATTACTAGTTAGAATACTTTTAAAGTTAAGAAATATACAACAGAACATGTAAAGTAAAAGTTTTCTTTTTAAATTAAAAATTTAAATTAAGAACGTTTAAAGATTTTAAATTAAGAACTTGAAAAGTACACAAAACAACGTCAAGATGAAAAATAAAATTATGAGAAGCAACAGACCGCATGATATTCCCCCTCATGCTGTGGGGGAGAGGACACATTTTAAGACGGCCAGACGGCTGAGACTGATATTTTTTGTGGCAAATATTTGCGGGCTTGTACCTACTGAAAGTATTTGCGCACTTCCCTCATCATTTATTAAACCGAACGGTTTTATGACATTGTCTTAATTAAAATTCGAATTGCTAACGAAGTGCTTGCTTGCCTATTATCTCTCATTTTATTATTAATACTGATATTAATCACGATTATAATTCAAGATTATAATAAACAATAATCAGAATAGAGAGATAGATGTATCACGTTCAGGAAGAAAGACTTCAAATTCTAAATTTGAAAAAGATTGTAACTTATAAAGTTTATGGTTATTTTCATTTAATGTGTGTCCGCCTAAAAAGTTAGGGTATAAAAAAGCAGGAGATCGCAGAACGACTTCCGTCTTTCATAAGCGCAGGCCTAAGGGTGACAGATGAGGCCAGCTCTCACCCTAGCAGAAGCAGGCCAGGGTTCCCACACAGCAGGGGGTCATCTACCCGCCCTAGATGGCCCGAGTGCGTCAGGGCACCAAGGATTTCCTTTCTAGGGTACACCCGATTCCCCGGCTACCTGGTACCCGAGACGTCGTGCAGGTTTTGTGGGTTGTGGTTGTGGGTTCGATCTTGTTGTTTTAAGTCTGAGTGTTCTTTGTGTCCGTTTCATGTATGTTTGTAAGTGTCCCGCGACACAGGATATATATTTCTACCGCGGCAGTTGTCTTTAAAAAAAAGTACACATAGACCGTATCTGAACACGGCTAATGTAACCTGGTCGAAACATCAGGCAGCCTAGAAGGTTGTAAAATCTATTGATCGCTTTATTTCCCTAAGTTATTTTTACTTGTTCGTTCGTCACTATTGGAACATCAGACGTGGGCCTGACCGCCATATTTAAACAGATAAAGTTTAGCTTTCAACTTTGTTTTGAGTTTCGCTAATGAGTACATTTTCTAAACATTGATTTTGTTTTGCTAACACAACACTGTCTATGAAATCGATACAGTGTGAGAGTATTTTAGTATCTACTTTATAATGTATTAAATGCTGAATATTTTACTTACGAGTATCTCAACTTTAGATAATGAACACAAGTATTTAGAAAATTTTATTAAGCTTACTACTTAGGATCTAAAATCAAGAAAAATACAGCAGGGGCTGGAGATAAAAAGTAACTTTGAAAGTTAAAATAAATATGAGGAATGTAAAAAATGAGCTAAACTAAGCCAGTGTTCGCGGGTTTGATTCCCACCCAGGACAAATAATTGTGGTCTGTTCTATCCTAGAAGCCTCTCCGATTGTAGGGCAAATAAATATGAGACCGAGGCCTATTCTTCTGCTCAAAGACCCTTATCCCATCCGAGATGTGCAGTATTCCTTAACCTAGCTCTCTCACCATATCTTTTTTCCTCAGCCCAACACTCGTCATTGTTGTTTTCCAGGTAGATTGGCGCCAAGACAGAAAAACAAAAAAAAGTACGAAAAACGGCAGAAATATCATGATCATGGTCTATCATGATCATAAATGATGATCTAGTCATACATAACAAGATAGATTTGCTGTAAATCTAAAAAAAGACAAAGCTTAAGAAACAAATGTACAGAATTTTTATAAATGTTTTTGATGGATTGTATTTAGCACGTCCTTCGTCACCTAACTTTGTAAATAGTCTGCTATTTTCATCACATATGTTTTTTTAAAATCGCAATTCGAATTAATTTAATAATCGCAATTAATTTCGCGGGTTCGATTCCCGCTCAAGTCAAACATTTGTGTGCATGAACATTTGATGTTTGATTTGGTCTGGGTGTTTCTATGTATAATATGTATGTATTTAAATATATATATATATGTATTTATATCAGTTGTCTAGTACCCATAGTACAAGCTCTGCTTAGTTTGGGACTAGATGGCGTTGTGTGTATGTGGTTAGAATATTATTATTTATTATAATGTTTAGTATATATCTAATTGCGATCCCATCTTTAAGATCAAAAATGTCTTCGAAGAATAAATCAGTCGAAAGGCTGAGAAAGCTGGATACTATTTGAAACATAGGTTTTTTTATTATATCTTAGGTTTTCCAACATAGATTTATAGAATAAG